CAGGGACCCCGCGGGGCGAGAGGAAGGGCGTGACGCAAGGGGGCGTCACCGCGCACACCACGGCCACGGCGCGCATGCGGGGACCCTGAGCCTGCGCCTTCGCCTGAGCGACAGGACGTCAGTCCGGCCAAGCCCACCTCCGCGCCGGCTTCCGCGTTGGATCTGCACCTTTTCCTTCTCCCCGCCGGGGACTTGTCGTGGGCGTTAATTACTCCAGGACAAGGGGCCCCCAGGCATATACGTTGCCAAACTTTTCATTGAAATTTGGCCAGCAAGAAGAATTGATAATACACGTATTACAACATAGAAAAGAAAACTTTATATATGTTCATTTTTTTCTTCTTATTGATTTTCATACATTAATATTTGATTTTTGTTGAAAAGTAAATAGTATTTATTTCATTAAAACATATTCGTTTTTACAACAGTGCGCAACAAACGTTATATCTCTATTTCTCATTCTGCAGATCAGTTTTATTCTGTCACAATCTAGTTCATGTACAGATATACAGAGTTTATATCTATCGATTGCTTTGTGAACTATGTTTATGGGTTTATTACAATTACAAGTGTACTCTTTACTACTTATATTCCTTCACTTTCCAGATTTTGTTGATGTGTCACTTTCCTTGCGCAACGGCATATATCTCTAATATTGCAATATCGTATTGTTTAAATTATAAATAATTTTTATTGTACTTACACAGAGGCCCGAAAGTTTGATATATGATGCCGATTCGCCCAAGTATTTGCCGTTATTTATTTCTAATTATTTTGGAGTTAAGCATAAGTTCTGTTGTGATTAGTTCATATCGAAATTAACTCTAATAATTTCTATTTAACATTATGCGTGCTAACAGCCGGTAGACCAAAATTTGGCATCATCATTTCTCATGCCAAAATTGTAAGAATTAATGATTTATGGACGCTCTGTTTATAAACTAGGCAATAAACTAACATTAGTTTGCACAGTGTCATCGTAATTAATTTACTCTTGTGTGAATGATTAAAATTAAAAGGTTTAGTAGTGATAATTGGGATGTAAACACATCTTTATTGGTACTTACCATATGAAGTGATCTAAAGTTTTTTTGATTATTTTGATCGAGAAAGTTTATGAAATACGAGTAATGATTGAAACTATTTCGTTTGAAATTCGATTTTTTCAAACCATGAATTCAAGAACGGACGTAAACATTTGAAATTATAAAATATACAAAATATTCATACTGCATGGAAAACACAAGCCGAGTATATTTACAAGGATTATAAATAAAGTTTCAACAATGAAAATTGCTTACACTATTGAAATGTGTTTGATAGTGAAAAAAAAAGAAATCAACGGAGTTACAAGAATCTGTAGAAAAAGTAGATATAGAATACTGTGCGTAATAAAAGTCTAAAATGCGGATTTATAGAACGCTATAAAATCTGACCGGTTGCTTTAGAAAAGCGCCGGTGGTGGCGCTAGCAAGAACCTCCTATTCGTCCTTACCAGTATCCACGAACCGCAAAGAAAATTATCGCGGTTAATCTAGACGTGAATTTAGATGGGTTTATTGTACGCAGTTCATAAAGACCTTGGATGATGTATCTATCGAAGGAAATCACTGAAATGACCTCGCTTAATTATTCTATATTTGAAGTAACACGATTCGTGAACAGTGTTAATTACTACTGAAATCCCCTTTCCACTCTGTTCCTGTGTATCTAGGTTTGTTTTGTTCATTTTCTGTACATTTTCTCGATATTTGGTATTTATTTTGTGTTTTTAATTGTTCGGGGATTGAAAAAACATACGAAAACGTTTTCTCATAGTGGATGAAACCGACTGGTGTGGCTCAGGACATCAGCTGAGGCCAGAACAGTGCCTCCCACCGGGAGATTCTACGGTTCGACCTCGGATGGTGGCAGGATTTTTTACACTACCTAGATAGGTCGAATTCAGTCGCTGTCTGGAGGAGAATTCTAGCGGCCGACTGCTCTGATCGGTGGTTTCTCCGAGCTACTCCAGGCGAATCCCGCAGTAGAAACCGCGTGCAATCGGTCCTTCCTATCCTTGCCTTCTGCATACAGTCACACTACGCTGCCACACTTGAAGACCAATCGTGAGCTTAGAGCTTGTCCCGGCGATGGTCGTGTAGGTCGGCGCCGGATCTCTTCATTGATCCAAGGAAGAACACTGCCACCTTCTGGGATGAAGCATGGCAAATACCTTCTGGAAATACACTTTCGGGACTAATAACTATAGCAGTTGAGGCGCGCGAACAGACGAAATGATCAATCAACTAGTGACTCAGAATTCAATGTTTGGGTTTATTTTCTCTTTCGCTGGCTGGAAACCAGTCTATTTAATAATTTTTAAGAAGTCTTTCACATAAAAAATAATGAAACGTTTTAAAAATCTTTGATTTAAAACGCACGATTGCATGTTAAAGAAGTATTATGTGTGTGTTTGTGCGCAAAGTTGAAACGCAAGCTTTTGTACTAGTGAAAATCAAAGCACATTTATATTTATGTTTATGAAATAAAAAATATCTTTTATATTTATGAAATAAAAAATCCAAATTAAATTAAGTCCTCAAATTAAGGAAACTGTATTCCTTTTCTTAATACCTATTGGAATATAATATATTTGAAGCCAACTAATATTTAAAAGTACAAATAATAATTAGTGTTATTGTTTTTTGTTTCGCGAATTGACCATCATGGGGCCACGCAGTACGTGTATCCCACCGGAGCTCAGACTTAATAATCGGGGTAGGTGCACGTTACTTTTCTAAAGGTGGGTGTCAGCATTTCAAAACTGATTCCACTTTTCTATCCCAGGGTTATTAGCCCTGGAGGATTGGATTAAATTATGATGATGATGATGAATGATGAAACAGACACACAGAAACATACAGAGACACACAACATAATGTGCGAAGCTGGACTCGAATCCGCGATCCTTTGGGGTCCGAGTTCACTGCACTACTGCCTAAACGATCTCGGCAATCGGATTGGAATTATTATTATTATTATTATTATTATTATTATTATTATTATTATTATTATTATTATTATTATTTTAATTTAATGAGTCAGGGGCGAGTGAATTTTAGTCACCGACCCCCAATTTTGTTAAATTGACATTATCTAATCCAGGAGTTCGATTTTTATTGCTATCATGTAATTTAAGTTTATATTAGGGCATGTTTAAAATTAATTTTATAGCAAATAACATAATGATATCTAGAATATACGTACAATGTTGCAATTTTGTAGAAATCATGACAAAAAGAAAACTCACCTGAAATCATGCCAGCATTTCAATAAAGTTATCTTTTCTGCCGGAAATAACATTTGCCACAATGCACTCCAGATTCGTTTGCACCCATGAAGCATGTAGACAATATTTGTATATTGAAAACAGCAGTTACTGGATTATAAGTAGTGACTACGAGAGCTGAACCTATATTTACATAGAATCAAATAAAATCGACTCTCTATATGATGCATATTTTATTCAGTTATGCCATTCATACAATTCAAGCCATTTAATATATATGGTACCTGACTACAGTGATTCCTTTGTTATTATGTTATTAAGTTATTTTTTGTACACGTATAAAATTAAATTTAAAAAATGAGATTTGCTCTTAACACAAGGAAAAAGATAAGGAACATGTTAAAGGGAGATTGGTTCCCTTTCGAATTAACACTGGCATCCATTAAAATAATTAAACATTAATTGTGAAAGAAAAATTTGTAGAAATTACAATATCCAACACAATTCAATTGATCCCATAAAATGAAACATGTAAGCATAAAACTGATAATTTGAATTATCTCTAATCAGCTGTATTTATTTTATTACAAGAGTGCATAGAATTATTTTATTTGAAATGAATCACCGAAAGATAGACACCGAAAAATACATGAATGGAAAATTATTTAAAAAAATAACGTTATCTCTTCTGTGGTTTTCTACGTTCCATAGAAATATATTTCCATCCCTTCTTATTACAACACATGTTTCAACAGATGCCTTGTATTCCGCATCTCATCTGATTTACTTTTAAAGAAATGCCTGTTTTCAACTTGAACTTGTTCTCTTCATGAATTATTGTTGGCTGTCACCATACGATCTTTCTCACGTACGAGTAACTGTGTTGAATTATTCTACTAATATTTCATTTTCTGGAATGCTTCTACCTTTAGCTCTCTTTTGTTTTCCATGTGCGCTTCCACTTTCCGATAAGTTTTTCTTTGCTTCTTCGGTCGTTTTTCTTTGCTCTCAGTCGGCCGACTTTTATTTTAACCTAGAAGTGAATGTAACCGGAGATAAACACTTCACTATATCAGTCGTGTATGGTTAAATTTGGTATCGAATGTTTGTACTACCGTTTCAAACCAGGAAAGAAGAGAAAAAATTGAATTTGTATTTCCACTTCAGACACGTGGACCGAAATAAAACATTTGTCTCAGTTAAAAACGCGTTACAGATCATCGAGTTTTATAGCCAGTCAGCTTTGTGACTTCTCAGTTCGAGCAAGATGTAAACGAGATATTTGAAGTGGTTGATGTTTCCCGTGAGATTAAATCTCTAGAATTACTTTAAGAAAACAATATAGAAATTTTGCATTTGTA